GTGAGTTCGGTTCCTGGTACCGGAGAAAAACCAAAAAAAAAAGAAATGACACCATTTAAGAGTACTATCAACAGTACCAGTCACCCTGGAAATTGACAATATATGCTGACCTTTTTAAGAAATAATTTAAAAAGTTATTAGGAGCTAAATAGTATCTCAAGTGCACATTTTCATGGATAGGAAGACAATATCATAAAGATGTCGTTCTTCCCCAGATAGACCTATACATTCAAGTAATTCCAATCAAAATACCCTTACAAGATATTTTCATGAAGATTGTTTAGGTAATGCTAAACTAAGGAAAGGGCTAGGATATTTCAGACTTGCCCTACCAGATGGCAGGATTCACTGTGAAGCCTTGTTAATTAAGAGAGTATGATGTTACCCAGGCATAGTGGTACATACCTGTAATCCTAGCTGAAGCAGGAGGATCCCAAGTTAGAGGCCAGCCTGGGCAACTCAGTGAGATATTGTTTCACAATATAAAAATAGTAGGGGCTGGGAAATACGGTTCAGTGGGTTCAATCCTCAGTACCTCCAAATAAAACCCAGCTTTTATTAGGGAAGGACCAGGCAGACTTCCAATGGAATAGACTACCCAGAAAAAGACCCATTGATGGAATGAACTTTGGTGGCACGTTCTATTGGGAAAGAGACTGCAGTATTTAGAGCCAGGATAGTTACCTGTGCGGCAAAATGTGAAAATTGATCTCCGTGTCATAGCATAGGAAAAGACGTTAAAGATTTAAATGTAAAACAAAACTTTAAAACTCTCAGGGAAAGTAGAGATGACAACTCTTTAGACCAAGATAGAAGACTTTATAACATAGCATTAATGAATTTGTCTATTAAAACAAAAAAGTTTTAGTCACCAAAAGTTATTGATTGATTGATTGACGGTACTTTGTAGCCCAGGCTGGCCTTGAACTTGCAGTGATCCTCCTGCCTCAGCCTACGAAGTGCTAGATCACAGGTGTGTACCACCGTACCTGGCCCAAAACATACCTTAAGATGCTTTTCAAAGAATGAGTAAAGACAAGTATGGTGAGCAAAATAAGTCTTAGAAATACAGTGGATTTTTTTTATGCCTTGAGATACTCAAAATTCTCTCAGTTAAAGTCACATCGTAACCTTTGTGACTTCCACAGTATCTAACACAGTCGAGACCTTCAAGACAATGGACCCCAAGAATTTATTGACTCAAAGAATGAGTGTATGACTGTTAATTAAGAATGACCTATCTCTGCTTCTCTGCTTATTTCTAAATAGGTCCTGAAAATAAATACTACTGAAATAGGTATATATTATTTTTTTAATTAATTTTGTTGGTATTCTTTTGCTATACATAGTAGTCACATTCATCATAGGGAATTGATGTATATGATATCTTTTTTTTTCCGGTACCGGGGATCGAACTCATGACCTTGCATTTGCCGGGCAGGCACTGTGCCGCTGAGCTAAACCTCCAGCCTTTATATGATATATCTTAATTCTCGTTTTTCTCTCCATTCTCCTCCCTTCCCTTCAGCCGTTCTTCCCTCCTTATTTACACAAGCTCTGTTTCTTTTTTTCCTTTTCTCCTTCTCCTCCCTCCTCTGTTTCCCCTTCCGTTTGAACACTGTCTTCCTACTTCTCAACATCTATTGTCATTTTGGTCCTTAGTTACACTTGTAGCTTCTCATACAAGCAAAATAGACATTTAAACGTGTGTCCAATTTATTTCACTTAGGAATAGGTATATATTTTTTTAAGAAGTAGAATGAGCTAAAATAGTCTCAAAATATGCATGCTACCCTGTAAAACATTTGAAAAAGGACAGGAGGTCTAGCTCAGTGTACATTACTTACCTAGCATGCATGGCCTAGCAAGGCCCTTCGTATACTCTGCTGCAGTAGGGAAAAAGAAAGTTTGAAGATCCATTTACGAGTCACAATTAAAATTTGCATATTTTTGAAAAGGCTAGAATAGCTGGGCATGGTGGCACACACCTGTAATCCCAGCACTTGGGAGGCTGAGACAGGAGAACTGCTGTGAGTTCGAGGCCAGCCTGAACTGCAAAGGGAAACCCTGTCTAAAAAAAACAAAAGGTTAGAATAGCAAAACCTGGAATGATGCCCTCAGACAAGAGGAGGGTGGCTAGCCTGTGAGTAAGTGGTGCCATCAGGTCCAGATCCAGCTTTTGGTGCTGGCAGGTTCAGGGTATGTAGATAATGACAGCGCCGTCTGTAAGCCAGTGCTCCAAGCGTCCTGAACCCGGAGGCATGGCTTAGTCCAGTTTTCTCTGCCTCGAGTCCAAAGTATTAAAAAGGGGAAAGTTAATTATAAAGCTGTTTTCATGACCACATTTTGTAACTAAAGCTGTGCATAAAATGGTTGGTGAACCAGCCTCATTGAGTTTTTTTTGTTTGCTTGTTTTGTGGGGTATCTTGGGTTTTTTTTTTTTTTTTTTTTTGTCAAAAAAATCGATCCATATAGCTTTCCATCTTCACTAAAACCGTAAGCCACAAATTCTCTCACGTTTTGTTTATATCCTGACTTGTCTGGGCTTTCTCGGCACAAAGTGCCCTTTCCCCGTGTTTTTCTAGAATGCTGACTTGTATTGCACAATGCAATTTTGAAATTAGGCATACAACCCAAAAGCCACTTTTCTTCTACTGTGAAGACAGTTTATACTCAGCCAATAATGTCTAGCATTCCCTTCTCCCAGACAGTCTCTAGAACATCTAAATAACTGTTAGAAACCTCAGGCAGGACTTGTGTAATTTGTTACGCTATCTTTTCAGTGGGCTTCCTGGCCTCTTTTTTCCCCCCTTAACACATGAGCATCAAAGTTAATTCAGAGGGCCAGTAGAACAGAAAGTCAGGGTGTGGAGATGAACTGGGGAGACTAACCAAAGACCTTCGCAACATCTAGAAAGCTCTTGGAGTCTACAAACACACCTATAATACTAAAAAGCAGCTGTGTTGGAAGTGAGAGGGGGCCATTACTACTTATCCCAGGGGCATTGAGAGGTGGTGAAGGAATGTTAGCAACTTTGCCCACAGATGCCATGACTTGGATGGATGGATCAGTACTCTGAAAATAAAATACACCAAAACTCACAAAAGGAGAAATAATCTTAATAGGACTGTATTTATTAAGGAAATTGAGTCAGTTACCTTCCAGGAAAGAAAAAAAAAAAGACCTGATGGGTTTGCTGGTGAATTCAAACATTTAAGAAAATAATTTTATGAATTTTCTACACTCTATTCCAGAAGGTAGAAGCAGAGAATACTTCCTACCATTCTGTGAGGCCAGCATTATCCCAACACCAAAACCAGACAAGACATTAAAAAGTAGCAACAGATCGATGTTTGTCGTGAACATAAACACAAAAGCCTTAATAAAACATTGGCAGATAGAATTTAACACTGTATAAAAAGTTATATACCACAACTAAGGAGGATTTCTCCCAGATATGCTGGGCTGATTCTACATTTGAGTTTTAAAATAATAAATAACAGTCCAAAAAATCACTCATCATATTCATAGATGAAAAAACATTTGACAACAACAAGTGTTCAAACTGAGGAAGAGTATTTTGAGGGGGATTAATGGCAGTTTCCTTTACTATAAGAAGCTTTTTAAAAATTCACTATTATTTATCACCTTATAGATGGAATTACATCAAACCAAAAAGGAAAGGCATCAGTAGAGTGAAGGGACACTATGAAGTAGGAGAAAAGTAGGTATCTGATAAGGGATCAATATCCAAAATATACAAAGAACTTAATAGTAAGAAAAACAAACAAAAAAATCTGATATAAATGGGCAAAACCTCCAAATGGACATTTCTCAAACGACACAAATGGCTAACAGGTATATAAATAAATGCTCAACATCACTAATCACTAGAGAAATACAAATTAATACCACAGTGAGATAATGCCACACCTGTTATAATGGCTGTTATGAATAGGGTAAAAGATAAGCAGTTGAGAGGCTGTAAAGAAAAAAACGCTGTGTAGGGGGGTGTTGAAATTAGTATAGCCATGGAAACAGTAAAAAACTAGCACTAGTGTGTGATCCAACAATCCTACTACTGGTGATTTAGCTAAAGAAATTAAAATCAATATGTCCAAAAGACATCTACATTCCCATCTTTACTACAGCACTATTCAAAACGGCCAAGATAGGAAGTCAACCAAAATTTCCACCATGCCTGAATGGTAGAGACAATGTGGTACCTAGACACAATGGAATTCTATTGTTTTGATTTTTGAGACAGGCTGTCACTGCGTGGTCCAGGCTGGCCTTAAACTCATAATGATCCTCCTTTCTCAGTCTCCGGAGTGCTGAGATTATAGGGGTGCACCACTGTGCCTGGTTTTGGAATACTGCTCAGCCGTAAAAAGATGGCCAGCCCTAAATGATTAACATATCCATATAGAGAGCTGAAAGAGATTTGACCCATGATTTACAGTAATGGCGGATACAAAGTGAAAGTCAAACTTCTTTCCGCTTTTACTTACCTACTGGGCATCAGCCCTGGTTCACAGCAGAAATGGCTTTCGAATCTGTGGCTGTCCCAGGAGAAAACATAAATCACACATTTAATGAGCAGCGGGTAAGAACCCAGGATTCTGCCTGTCTCTCCATCCCCACAGTACCCCTGACTTGTTACTGGAAAGCTGGGTCCTAACGTGGTGAGGGCACAGGTTACACTTACAGTAAAACCTTGGTTTTCGAGGTTAATTCGTTTCAGAAACATGCTCTACCCAGAGCACTTGTATGTCAAAGCAAATATACCCACAAGAAATAATGGAAACTCAGATGATTCATTCCACAGAAATACTCGTGTAAAAACGATTACAATACTGTAAGATAATACCAAATAATAAAATACAAAATACAGAAAATAAGCTGTTTACCTGCACTTATCTTTGAAAACCCTGTGGCTGGCGTGAGGGAGGTAAGAGAAGAGGGTTATTGTGTAGAGCGACTTTCATGACACAGTCACTGCTCTCTCGGCTCAGTGGGAGCTTTTTCTTGTCTTGCAACTTTCAAGAAACCTATCCAGTGACACTTGCTTTTTGCTCCCGAGGATTCTGCAGAAATGGGACACTGCATTGTTAAACAGATTCACTGCTCACACAGTTGCAGCCTTATTTAGGTGGTCACACGAATTTCTAATACACAAGTGAGGAGGCCACACCTGAGTCCACGCTCAGGGACCGTCCTGTCCTCCTCCGTTTTCTTCTTCTCCCCTTCCTTCTCTTTCTCACTCTCAACCTTACTACGGTGCTGAGTTGCATGTTCTCTGGCACATCTTCACTGCTGGCCTGGAGGTGACGCAGAGGGAGACAGGGAGAGATGCCTGGGAACTTGGGACCTGCTGCTTTTAAGGAGCAGGGAGCTGGGGCGGGACGTTGACCAAGATAGTCTTCTATCACTCATTTAAATATGAAAGGAACTGGTTCCTTTTACAGATAATAGGATGGTTCTGCAATCTTTATTCTTCGAAATTAATTTCTAGGATTTGGGGCTAACTGCACGAGGGTCCCGTATCACTCAGTACAGAGACCCTCGCAGAACCACCCTCGCCCGAGCCGCGGCCGGAAGTGGGTTTCTCCAGGCAGGGAAGAGCGCGGCTTCCGGCGGAAGAGACGGGGCCTGGAGACGGACGAGCGGCTGGAGGCGGGACATGCGAGGGGCGGGATGTCTGTGGCCAGAACCAGGTCTCCAGGGGAGGGGGAGGGGCTCCCTGAGGGACGAAGGGGCGGGGCTCCGGGTCAGCGCCGAGGTGAAGATCCGGAGGTGGGGCCCGGTGGGCGGGGCTCTCCTGAGGGACTGGAGGGCGGGGCTTCGCGGCACCACCAATAGGCGAGCGAGTTCTTCGGGCCCGCGGGGCTTGCTCGGCGGGCTGCGGTCCACTTTTCCTCCTGTGCTCGCTGCTCCGCGCGCGCTCGCCACCATGTCCTTCATCCCTGTGGCCGCAGACTCGGACTTCCCCATCCAGAACCTGCCCTACGGGGTCTTCTCCACCCCGGACAACGTGAGCTGCGGCCCGGCGCCGGGGCGGACTGGGGGTGGGTCGGGCACAGCGTTCCGCCGATCGCTGTGCGTGCCGAGCGTCCGCAGGTTCGAATCCCGCCGCGCTGTCCCCTGCGCACGTTGGTTAGCCTCTCGGCCTGTTTCGCAAGGTAGCGAGAGCAGTGCGTGCAGGTGGAGTGTGCACGACTCCCCCGTGCCAGCACAGCGAGCCTGGAGCTCAGAGCCTGTCCGGAGCGAGCCTGCCCACAGAGGTCAGGGCTTCCCTCCGCGTTCCGGCAGGTCCTTCAAGTCGCGGGCTGCCCAGCCTAGAACCCGGAAAGAGTGCGTGGCTCCGGTACTGAGCGGCTCGTTCCTTGCCATTCAGGAGCCCTTTGGGGTAGAGAAAGGAACTTTTAGAAGTCTTTTACAGCGGGGGGCTTACCAGCAAGATTACAAGGGGGTCCCTGGGTGGGAAGAGCAGATTTCCCGCCATCTGCGGTGGTAGTTCTTGCTAGATTTCTGCTGCCCCAGATAAATTCCCGATTTGGCTTTGTAAGCCTTGGAACCCCAGCACCTGCTTGCAGGTACAGTGTTCAGGGGGTACTTTGCACCTGTGTCTCTGGCAGTTGGCCCCTTCCAGGAAAGTGGGGTCCCTTCCTCCAGCTGCCCACGCTGTCCTCCGTGGCCTGCCCGCAGTGCACACCATGGTCTGCTAGAGTTTTCCTAACTGGCAGGCCTGACCAGATGTTGTAAGGGAACAGCAAGTTAGCGGCCCTGGAGCACGCAGGAGGCCCGGCGCGCCCTGCCCTTCCCAGCCAGCCTCCCCCTGGTGGCAGGAGCCGCCCCTGCTGTCCACCAGCTTTGCCCTCTGTCCTTGCCTTTCCGAGGGCACACATCAATCGGGCCGGAAGGTGTGTGAAGGCAGGCTTCTGCCTGTGAGGGTGCTGAGCTTGCTGCCCTGAGGAAATCCAGAATCGGCGCCCAAGTGACACCAGCCTGCGGCCACTGCTAGGATGTTGCAGGCAGCCACGGGGACTCTGGGGGCGAGCGCGCCTTCCCTCTGCCCTCTGCTGGAGGGCTGCAGTCAGCAGTTGTTCCCCTTGGCCTCCCACCAGCCTGCAGCCCACAGCTGTGCAGGCCTCTGGAACTCTGTCCCCGCGGCACCCCCTGTGTCTGGGAGTTAGAACTTTTGCTTTGGACTTTGTATCAGATGGGACTGGAGCAGGCAGCGCAGGTTCCTTCTCTTAAAGTAGGTTTCTCTCCCTGCCTCAAGTTACACGGGTCCCAAGAGGAGCAGGAGATGGGTGGCAGTGAGAGCAGGCCGGGAGCCCCCTGGGCTAGTGCTGAAGAGCTTAGGTTAAAAGCAAAGCCTCTTGAAGCGTTGTTCCAGGTCTTCAGGTCACAGCCTGGTGCACCACTGCAGACGGTGGCACAGGCAGCCCTGCTGCCGTTAGACCTGGGACATGCTGGGGGGCAGCTCCTTCTCATCTTCAGCCAGGAGTGTGGCCCAGGGCCCGAGGGGTGGACCAGGCTCTGCCCTGCCGATTGTCTGAGTGAACATCACTGGAGCCAGGCCGTGCAGCCCAGTGCCCTGCACCAGTTTCCAGAGAGGAACACCGAGGCCAGGGAGTTGGCAGAGCTGCGAGGCATTGCCGGGCTGTCCAGGCAGCCTCGTCCAGGGCAGCTGTGCTAGGGGAGGGTGTGGGCCCTTGAACTCCTGGTCCGAGGTGACGTGTGTGAGGACATGGCCGCCTCCTCTCAGTCCATCAGGGTGAGCAACCAGTGGCGGTCAGGCCTTTCTGCTCCTGAAACAGACTGGCGAAGCTGCTGGTCAAAACTGCAAGCCTGGCTCAGGAGCGGACCCCAGAAAGCAGAGTCTGCAGGCTCCCTCTCTGGCTCCCTGTTGACAGCATCGCTCAGGGCTGTGGGGTCAAAGACCAGGCTTGGCCAAACAATTGAGACACAGATGCTAATCCTGAGTTGTGTGGCCAAAGGAGCCTCTCCGACGTGGCCCCAGCAGTGACTTGGGGCCGCCCTCAGCAGCCTGGCTCTCCTCCGCTGGAACCACAACGCCACCTGGCCCTCAGCACTGTGCGGGCCACCCTGTGGTACAGCTTCTGCGGGTGCCCCGAGCAAAGCCTGGGTCAGATGTGCAGGAGCGTCCAGCTGCCCAGTAGGGTGGTGAGCTCCTCCTCATGCAGGAACTCGGCGCTGGGGACTCATGGGGACTCTGGCTTGGTAGGGCATGGACAAGCCCCCACCCATGGCATGCTGAGTTCTTTTCCCTGAAGGAGCCCGATTCTTCTCGTTGTGGAAGCGGAGAAGGCAGTAGGGTGGGGTGCTGAGCACCGGTTGTGTAGCCCTGGCAGTCGGCTCTGCAGCAGACAGGCTCCTGACCAAATCAGCCAAGCCCTTCAGGGGATTTCCCGGGTGCTGACTGTGCCGCCTTTCCCCAGCCACAGCCGCGGATTGGTGTGGCCATCGGGGACCAGATCCTGGACCTCAGTGCCATTAAGCATCTCTTCACTGGACCTGTCCTCGCCAAGCAGCAGGATGTCTTCGCAGAGGTAGGACACTGTGACGTGGCTTGTCTCTGCCACCTCTGCTACCCGTTGTTCCTTCAGCCTCAGGCCACATGGGGCCAAGGCAGGGCTGTTCCCAGAGCCACCATCGGGCAGGAGGCAGCCTGGGGCACCTCAGCTGGCCCCTCATCTGCAGGTGGGTCCCTTGGTGAAAATAGGGTCCGTTCTCTGCACTCCTAGGTCTGTCCCAGGCAGGGTATAGGGAGCCGGGAGCCCTTGACTCTAGTCCACCGGACGTGTGCCTGGGTGACCGTGAGCCCCCTCCTCGGACGCCTTGGGCAGCCCTCTCCACGACGCGTGGCAGAAGGAGGGGGAGTCACCGAGCGCCTTCCGTGTGCCGGGAGTGTTCCACAGGTGTCTCCTTCAGCCTTCCTGACGTAGACTGGCCCGTCTCAGGACGGGCAGGGAACCCAGCATCCAGAGCAAGACGCTGTGCCCCTCGCTGTTACCACTGAGGCATGGGGTGTGGCTGGAGCTCTGACCCTCAGCCTCCCTAGTGCCAGCTGCCACTCTTGGACGGCTGCTGGACCCTTCCTAACTACCTCTCAGGGGGCTGGGATCTGCTTAGGCCCCACACCCCTAACACTGGAGTGGCCCTGCTGGGAGGAACGGCCACCTGCAGCTGCAAGCCAGGCTCGGGGAGCTCCCGGGCCTGACAGCTGTGTGCAGGCCTTGGAGGGGCTGATGCAGTGTCAGGAGAGGTGGTGGCTTCCTCCAGTGTCATGCATAGGTGACGGAAGCAAGAGAAAAGGTCCCCAGTGTCGTCTTGGAGACAGGAGCGGTAGGCCTAGACAGGGAGGGACCCTGGGCTCTCCCCTGTGTGTGATCTCCTTTTTGTCTTTGACCCTAGCCGACTCTCAACAGCTTCATGGGCCTGGGGCCGGCTGCCTGGAAGGAGGCAAGAGCGCTCCTGCAGAACTTGCTGGCTGCTGGCCAACCCAGGCTCCGGGATGATGTGGAGCTTCGGGGGCGGTGAGGAGCGTGTGGGCACGGCAGGCAGGAGGACACACGGGGAGACGGAGCCGGGCGGCAGATGGGGTCCCAGGGAGACGGGGCCGGGCGGCAGGCAGGAGGACACATGGGGAGACGGGGCCGGGTGGACCAGACGGCAGACGGGGTCACGGGGAGATGGGGCCGGGCGGCAGACGGGAGGACAGACGGGGAGACAGGGGCCGGGCAGCAGACGGGGTCACAGGGAGACGGGGCCGGGCGGCAGACGGGGAGACGGGGAGACGGGGCCGGGCGGCAGACGGGGAGACGGGGAGACGGGGCCGGGCGGCAGACGGGGAGACGGGGAGACGGGGCCGAGCGGCAGACAGGAGGACACACGGGGAGACGGGGCCGGGTGGCAGATGGGGAGACAGGGCCGGGCGGCAGACGGGGAGACGGGGAGACGGGGCCGGG